AAATCAAATGGGTCAGATATCTTTCAACCTAGCAACACGAGGCTGGAAACAGCACAACGGAGAGAAAAGCTAAGAATGAGAATGACTAATAAGATCATAGAACTCTGTATTTTTTATCATAAGCAATTTGTGATAGACATTTTAAAAAAAAATTAGTCACTGATTCTGGTATTGTTTAGACCAGCAGAGAATTAATACTAAGAACAAAACCAAAAGCAGTTTTGACTCTTTGAACGAGGATATTTATTTTTAACAAATGAAAAACTATTAGCAACTATTTAATATATGATAAACTATGTGATACATCAAATAAATCTATTAAAATAAGGTGAGTTACTTATTGATATAAAAATAAAGTCATCTAGAACTGACATCTGATGCAAAGTATGTCAGTTCTAGATGACTTTATTTTTATATCAATAAGTAACTCACCTTATTTTAATAGATTTATTTGATGTATCACATAGTTTATCATATATTAAATAGTTGCTAATAGTTTTTCATTTGTTAAAAATAAATATCCTCGTTCAAAGAGTCAAAACTGCTTTTGGTTTTGTTCTTAGTATTAATTCTCTGCTGGTCTAAACAATACCAGAATCAGTGACTAATTTTTTTTTAAAATGTCTATCACAAATTGCTTATGATAAAAAATACAGAGTTCTATGATCTTATTAGTCATTCTCATTCTTAGCTTTTCTCTCCGTTGTGCTGTTTCCAGCCTCGTGTTGCTAGGTTGAAAGATATCTGACCCATTTGATTTTGAGTTGGCATCAAACTGGCATATCAAGGCATTTTAGTTGGCCTGCGGTTACATTAGTGATTTGAAAGATTTGATTGGCTGGTCTATCCCCTCTCCCCTATTATATTTTATAATTATAATATAATATTATAATATTATATTATAATTATAAAATATAATAGGGGAGAGGGGATAGACCAGCCAATCAAATCTTTCAAATCACTAATGTAACCGCAGGCCAACTAGAATGCCTTGATATGCCAGTTTGATGCCAACTCAAAATCAAATGGGTCAGATATCTTTCAACCTAGCAACACGAGGCTGGAAACAGCACAACGGAGAGAAAAGCTAAGAATGAGAATGACTAATAAGATCATAGAACTCTGTATTTTTTATCATAAGCAATTTGTGATAGACATTTTAAAAAAAAATTAGTCACTGATTCTGGTATTGTTTAGACCAGCAGAGAATTAATACTAAGAACAAAACCAAAAGCAGTTTTGACTCTTTGAACGAGGATATTTATTTTTAACAAATGAAAAACTATTAGCAACTATTTAATATATGATAAACTATGTGATACATCAAATAAATCTATTAAAATAAGGTGAGTTACTTATTGATATAAAAATAAAGTCATCTAGAACTGACATACTTTGCATCAGGATTTAATTACAAAAAATAATTAATAAATAAATACAAATATATAAAATAAATTGAAAATGTGAAAAAGTGCATTTCACAAGTGTACAAAATATATGCAAGTTACATTTAAATATAAACACAACACTTTAAAGCTTATGTTATTTTTTCCTTGTCGTGTCACTTGCTTGTAATATTAGTAGAATCAAATAGTGTAAAAAAAAAACTACCGTTATTGAATTTTTTTTTTTATCAATTAAGTAAAACAAAGCTGTTTTTTTCTGTTTCTGTACAGATTCTTCATATGATTCTCCAGACAGCTCCCTTGCAAGCATTAGTCCTGTGATTGGTAAATCAAAAAAGGTAAGACTACACTGCAACACCCTATTTACAGTATAGTATTTATATATTTTTATTTATTTATTTAAATACAGTATATATATATCACACTGGTTGTACTGTCTTTTTCTGACACTGAAGAATTCTACACAGCTGTCAACCAATTTTCTCTAATTACAAATGTATGACAAACGTTGTGCTGCATTCACGTAAAGGCGGTAACTTTACAGTTTACGCGTCTTTTTTCTGACCTTTTTATGTTGATATTTCTGTTATTGTTTTACGTGTAACATACTGGGTATTGGCTAAAGTACTGTGGATAAAACGATATCAAGTCAAGTCAGCAGCTACTAACATTTTAACTGAATTGTTTTCAGTGTGATATTATTTTTTTGGTTATACTGGCGGCACTTGAACGCAGCACTCACTGTAGGGCCCCCAGAGTGCCTGGTTAAAAAAAATGAGACATGTATATTATATTACATATTAATGAAGCTATTTGTGATGACATAGAAGTTTTAAAATGACGTAACAATTCACTTTTATCGGGTTTGATAGTTATCTGGCATGTAGTTATTGGGCACACCTATTTACCGCCATTTGTTTTTCTTTTTAAGGACGTTCAAACCCGGCAGAGCTCCCCCGACGCAAACACAAGGTAAGAAGTAGAATCGATTTAACTGAATTAAATTGATTAAACTTAATTAAGGCAGAAACCCAGAAAGACCCCCAGTATAAGCACAGAAAGGTGGTTTACACACGTTATATAAAAACGGCAAGGTTGTTTCTTGCGTCTTATTGAAGAAGAGTGGTGGTGGAGTTGGGGGTTTTTTTTTAGTCCCAATAATGAGTGTTTATGGACAGAGGTACACAAAAGTTTGGTAGCCAATTGGGGCCGTTTCTTACATGCCACAAGTGACTGTCTCCAGAATGTCCTTGCATTCTTATATAACATATAATGTATTATAATTATATTATAATTATAATATAAGAGCACATCTTCGCAGCTGGCTGTGAGTCCATGCCAGTGTTCCCTTCTCTTCAACAATCACCATCGGCGGCTCCTTCAGCCCACGTCTCGCCGCGGCCGCCGTCCAGACAGTGTCTGCGGGCGCTGTCATTAAAAAGTAATAACACGTTTGTTTCGATGTCGCCATCATTTCTGCAGGACCCCCTCCTCTCCACCCACAATCAAAACAAATCCAGCACGCGTGCTTTTTCCCGCAGCAGTGACGTCACGAAGGCTCCTCCCCCCTTTCCTGCAAGTAAACAGAAAGCCGAGCAGGAACCGCTGGTGTCGGTGGACCGGAGCGTGTCAAATGCGGGACGGTCGTGTCCGTCAGTGGGAGTGGACTCGGTTCTCCAGCTGTTCCACAATGTTCTTGTGGAGTTAACAACAAACTCGTGGAACCGAGGCCAGTGGAGCTGCACTGGAGCGATGAAGGGAGAGGCGGAAGTGAAGTCACTTGACAGACCGTCCATGTTATTATTGTTATTTTGGTAGCTGTGCGATGAGACGAGCTGCGGCGAACGAACCACCGCTAACGACACCGCAGGACGAACCGCACCGACAGCAGCGTGTCCCGCACTGACCCACAGACAGGAGGCTCTGTAACGACAGGGAGGAGGAGAAAGAGGAGGCAGCAGCAGGAGGGTGTGAAGATTCAGCTCGTACACTACGACCGTGCGAAAAAAAATAATAAACGGCGACAAACAATTACGGCTTTTCGCCCAACGGCTTCGGCTCCGGTGCGTGTTTGTGCGGTTTGGAGAAGGGACGAACCGCCGTAGACATGAACGGAATCACCAAGGGCCGGTTCGAGGTATGACACAGGCTGTGGACCACCAAGTGTTTGTTTCTAGTAGACGTGGGAGTCGAGTTTGTCCGTGTGTTAATGTGTGTGTGTGTGATTTTACATGCAGCCTATAGCCGAGCCCTTCTGCTGGTCAGAGGTAATAATCCTAAATCCTGTTATTGTCCTACTGCAGTAGCAGCAGAGACAGAGACAGAGACACGGGGCTGCAGGACAGCACAGCAGGGCTGTGGCTGACGACTGTCACTGTATCAGTGGATCAGTGGATCAGGGCTGAGGCTGCCTGTCACTGTGGCCTGAGGTTAGACAGGCTGCCTTCAGCAGGGCTGCCAGTACAGTGTTTCTCTGCTGCCTTTCCTCATCAGCCATCAGCACACGTTAGTGAAAACAGAAGAGATTCCACAGATAAAATACTTACTTCGCACCAGCAAAGTGTTTTGACAGGGAATCGAGCCAAGAACTCAGAATATTTCTGCCACGGAGTACATGTAATACATTAAATATGAAGAAACTCAACCAGAAAACACAATGACTCGACAAAAACCCAATCTTAGTGAGTTTTCAGTTTCTTGATAATCCCTCTGCCGTTAACAGAAATTACCCTCTGCCTTCAACCCATCTGTGTAACACCCTGGTGACCAACACCAGACACACAGGAGTGACCGGCTGCACTTTAGAGCCGGGGGAGATTTGGCGTTTGGCCAACACACCTAAGTGCCAGATCCAGGATTCGAACTGGCAATCCTCCGATTGCAGAGCCAATCCTTTAACCTTTAGCCACTGGGCAGTGGACTGCCCTGAGTTCTTAGGAATTAAAAATATAATCAGACAAGACTGATCACAGGACTCCAGAAATGCATTTGGTCACCTGAATTCTTCCATTAACTGTTATGAAAGTTCAAATCTCATCAACCTGCTCTTAGGCACAGGGTTGGAGCCAAAACACATTCATTAGGAGGGGAACAGACAAAAACATTCAAAAATGTCTTTAATACTGAAGACTGATGGACAATTATTATAATTGTAATATAATAATTTAGTCCCATATTTGTCCCACAATAGAGTAATTCACAGTCTGAGTCTTTGCAACTGACACAGGCTGCCACAGGAGGCGCCATTGAGGACATTTGGTTCCCGTGGGGCTCAAACCCAGGACCCTCTGCGTGTAAGGCAGATGTGTAAAGGCAGACATGGTAACGCTGTGGCACCACCATGAAGTTTTGGTTTGAAGAAGATTTTAAGCCAAAAACCTGAAATATTTTCTTGTTGTGCACAGGCAGTAAATCAAAGAAAAACAAAGGAACATGAAGATGATTTACTTTAAAGATAAGAGAAATACAGCAGTGTTGATTAATGGATCTAAGAAATCCAATTGGTCCACTGTTTCCTCAGGTCAGCTGAGGTGAATTCCAAGCTCCAAGCTCCCAAGAGGAACGACTAAAGAGACTTAAAAAGGCTAAAATATGCCTGAAGTAAACACAGTCAGACTGTAGAGTGATGGTCCAAGGTCTTGTACACAACAAGTCGAGTTAGAAATCTTTAGCTAAACATGTTGTCAGTATGGAAGGCTGTATAAACCAGTGAACTCCAGTGCACCATTAGAAAGGCCCAGTCATGGTTTAGGGCTGGATTTTACCTCATAACAGGACAGCTGTTTGGCGAATAGCAGTATTTGTTAAAAGAAGGGTTAACCTGTAATGGTCTTGTACGTAAAACTGACCACATTTTCTCAGTAAATGGTTCTGGATGACTGAGGACTGCATGCATGTTTGGACATTTCATGCCAAATCTCCTATATATTAGTTAAAATATTTTATCAAGAGCAGACATTTGTTTTTGTTTTTTTGAAAAAAGAATAAAAGTCTGGCGGAAATTGATGAAGTTATTCTTGGCGTTGATCTCAGCGTTGAACATGAAAAATGTTTTGACACGGCGCTGCTCAGCATCGCAGGACAGCAGAGCAGAGCAGAGCAGGGCTGTGGATGACTGTTGTCGGCCAATCAGAGCAGAGGCTGGCTGTCACTGTCGCCTGAGGTTAGACAGGCTGCACTCAGACGGGGTGGGCTGCAGACGGAGAGCAGCAGTGTTGTAAATACAAGCAGCATTCAATTAGTCACCGTGTACTTGGCCGTGGCAGGTATCACCTCCTGCAGTTCCTGTGAATGACAGCTGCCTGTGACACCGTGTACACCGTTGTTTCTGTGATAACGTAGTGTGTTACGCTGGTTTCTATAAATTATTGTGTTTACTCCCACAAACATCTTTATTCATCTGTTTTTTTTTTAAAGAAAAAACAAATCAGGAAACACACCCAGGCATGTGAGTTCTGTCAGTCAGTGAACACCACATTCCTCTAGTGCAGTCACAAAGGCATTACAGCAGTTCTCCTCTGGCATTGACATATTTGTTTGTACATTTTTGTTTGGTATTTGTTTTCCAAAGTATCTTCTTAATTTCACTTCCCTACAGTCAAGCAGCGTCCTCTCTTCTAATCAAGGTGTCTCCTGAAAATAGTTTCAGGGATGTGCAGGTGCTAATTGCTGACTAACACCCCTGCGGTTAAAGTAATAGCATTTACCAGGCTGTGTGACATTTGATGACAGTATTTTTTAAAGAAATACTTTTTAAAAATAATTTTCATAAATAAGTGAATATATTTTCTTCTTTTGTGCCAAAGAAGACTATGAAGCTTACTGGCTGACAGCAAAACAACATACTGGTTACTGGTCGAGTGCCTGCTAAAGCATCGTGCTGAAATAAGTGAGCAGTATTAGCATGTATTATAGTATTATACACCAGTATAGTGAACTGACAGTGTGTCAGGGCTGGGCTTAGGCAATCCACTTTCAGATATAGAGCAGTGGTGTTGTAAATACAAACAGCATTCACTTAGTCAGCATGCATTTGGCCTTGGCAGCAAAGGCCTCCTGCAGTACCTGTGAACGACAGCTGCCACTGACACACTCCACACTCTCTGTGCTACAAACCATTTGTGCATTACATTATTTTTGTTTTACCTACTGCATAATTCTGTTCAGCAAAGTAGTACACAAACACATCCATGTCGTTCAGAAAAATAGAAAAAAATGAGTTGGGGGGCACTGTTACCCCCTCCATCTCATTGAAGTACTGCACAAGTACAAGTACAGGTACCAGCGTATGGAGGCCGTAGCTGGCTGACACTGTTGTCTGGGCTTATACTGGTTGTTTTCAGGAGGAGTGGGCTGCACATGGAGCGTAGCAGTGTAAATAATATTTGTGTTCCTGTACTTGGCAGGTAATGGTGCACAAACCTGTCACACCTCCTGCAGTACCTGTGAATGGCGTTTGCCGCTGACGCAGTGCACACACTTGTGTCAGTAATAATGTAGTGAGCTACAAAAAAACCACGTTCACTTCTACCCTGGCTCAATTTTCTTTTCTTTTTTCCTCGTCATTTTCTTTTTTAGAACGCCTGAGCTTTGATCAAATGATTATCTGTTTTTTTCATTAATAGTTAGCTTTGTAGACAGACAGAGATATAGATATGTTGTAAATCCTGTGAAGTACATTTTTTATGAAGTTGTGTTCCAACACTGTCGTCATAACCCTTACAGACCTTTCTCCCAGCAGGTGTGTTCACAGGTCACACAGTAGGAAAAGCCTGGGTGTCAACAGTCACATTAATAATAGATCGGCTCAGTTTCTGGGTTCATCTTTGCTAACAGACATATTGTGAAATGGAACAGAGTCACTGAAACAGTGACAGATGTGTTTTTATGTCTAAATGTCTGCTGTAAAGAAGGACTGGTTATTATTTTGGCCAAGTTAAAAAGTAACTTACTACTTCCTTGTTTGGTTTGACAGTGTTGTCAGGTAGCAGTATGTTATACTGTATAATAATTACCAACATTGAATTGTTGCCTCCTCCTGCAGTTGCCTTAAATCATCCTAATTCCCACTGGCGGTGACTCCCACCAAGCCTGTTTACCTCTAATATCATTCTCACATTGTTGAGATTCTTTTTGACTTGATGGTACTTGACTGTCTCCATCAGGCATTGGCCTGATTATGCACAGACACGGGTCTATGTCTGAGTGAGTGAGAACAGAAGGCGTTGCCGTGCTGCTGAGGAGCGCTGACAGAACGTCGGCTTCCTCCACAGAGCTGGAGTCTCCTTCCATGACGACCAGCCTACACAGGCAAATAACCTGACGTACGAAGGCTCCAAAAACCAAAGGACGTTGAGGGAGCAGCTCTAATGCTCTAATCATTCAAACCAAACAGGCCTGATCCATTTGCTTTATTCATACTCGATTGTAGCAAATTAGCTCTAAACCTGAACCATCAAGTTCAAAAGCTCGACCTTTCTTCAAGCTTCTGTTCACTATCAAGTAATAGGAGTATGACTGCAGGGAGGAACTCCCTGCACGGGAATGCTGCTCTGCTGGCACAGAGTCCCAGGGCAGCAGAAAGAAGAAGTGAGAATTCTGAGGAAGCAGGCGTACCAGAGAGGGCCCCGACCCTCGCTGTCATGATGCCATATCTGTGGTTTAGATTACATATGAATTTAATGAGCGCAGGCCGTGCTACCTGACACTGTCATTCAGTGTGTTTGTGTTACACAACATGGAGAGGGAAGTAGACCTCAGTAGACTCCAGTAGACCTCAGTAGACCTCAGTAGACTCCAGTAGACCTCAGTAGACCTCAGAGACTC